GCTGCTTGAAATCAGCATGAGCTCCTTTTTAACAAGCTGAGCCACTTCTGCACCCCTCCCCACACTATTTGACAGCTTATAATAAAATGTTTTAGATTTCTAATGCAGCAGGTACCAGCCAGGAACAGGAAATGTTAACAATTATCCCAATTTTCAATCACTTTAACTGAATTTTCTAAGTAGCATGTTCACAAATTTCCTCCCTGTATGTGACTAGAAGCTGAAGAGTGAAACTCTCCATAGGCAAAAGCCAAAGCAGCTACGAAGCCCTGCAGAGCAGCTAAGGAAAAGAGCAATGAGCTGCTGTGCATCGCGTGTCCTGATCTCACACCTCGTGCACAGAGTCAGGGCACACGGCAGAGGTAACTACTATGTTGTGCAGTTCATTAGGATGAATATTTGCAATACTTGCTCAGAACAGGCGCAAAGTTGCCAGGAAATTAGGAGGAAACTGAAGCCTTAACAAATGGAAACAACCTATACACAAACAGAAGGGGCTGGTCCTCGCAAGGGCTTACAGGACCATTTCACCCAGAAAAAATGTACTGCCTTGAAGTGAGTGCAGATGCATACCAGCAGCTTCTCTGTTTTGCTTTTTAGGATGTGGGTATGCCTGTAGGCACATGACTTCAGTTCTATATTTTTACAGAGTACAGCGTGTTTCTATGGTGCAGAAAAGACAGAGGCAGCAAATACAGCTCCGGAAAACCTGAAGACCATTCCCTCCCTCTCTCCCTCCATAATTCCCTCTTTACTGAAGGACATGGGTAACACAGACACTCAGTACATATGCTAAAAGCAAAGGGAATGTGTCATTCAACACAGCTGGATTGAGCAGTCATACTTACACACCTCCCAACTGTATTAGAAAAGGACACTGCAGCAGCCCAAGGACACCAGGCAGTGTTGGCACCCTTTTCTTTCCCTCTAACCTCTGAGGACTGACGTCGTATTTCACAGGGGTCTGCCAACTGTTAGGGCACACTATGTGTGTGATGTTATCCCACACAGTTAAGAACAGTCAATGACAATTAATAATGTCTATCTTTTCCACTGTTTCACATTTTTCATGCTCTACATCTTTCTTCAGTTTTCCATAGGAGTTCTCTCCATCTTTCTGCCTTTCTTTGTGATCATCTTCCACCAATTTTTTCATTTCTGATTTGGCCTTACAATTTATTTTCCTTTGTTCTTTTCTCCCCACCTTCATAATTGTGCTGTAATGCATATTTAAGATACTAACAGCACACAAGAGGATTTTTAGAAGAACACAGCACAATAAGCAAGCTGCTTATAAAATCCAGATACACACATCACAGCTGCAGCCAGTGGATGCCGAGTGCATTCAGCAACGTGTCTGGGGCTTCTACGGAAGCTCATATCCTCAGAAAACGTGGCCCTGAGGTGACAGTCTCCTTAGTATCATTGATTTATCCCAATTTCCCACTAATGCAATTCCAGTGAACTCTATAGGAATAAAATGGAGGGGGATAAAAAAGGAAAAATGGCAGAAGAGTAAAGAAAATAATACAGAAAGGCTACAAGGGCAGCTTTGCTTGTATATTAATGCTGTTGACTGGAAATAAGGTTTGTGCAGTCCCCCTCCTCAAAAAGAAACCCGCTCAAAAATGCCACAAATTAAAAGCCAGCGAATACATTCTGAGTTTGGACTCAGATGCCAAATTTCCACAAAGTCAGTTGCAGTAACAACAATAAAGATGGAAGTGAATTTTCTCTGTAACTGCTGCAATATTTTCCAAATACACTCAGCTGAATATAAAATTTAGTATTGTGCTTTTTTTTTTTACTAGCATATGGCAGTGAGAGCTTCAGACAAGTCACAGAGGGCTGAGTCTTGGAGGATTCAATGAGAAAGTTGCTTGAGATGTGCTCAGAATAATTTTATATTTTAGAAGCAAATATTCTTAGTTTCCGAGCATGATTTCATAAGAGTCACATAACTTCTTTTTTTTTGTGTTTATTATCCTCTAGATTCTGGAAATCTTTCTGTATGCTGAGAGCAAATTACACTGAAATGACAACTATAAAACCATGGCAGTCCCAGCGAGTCCTATGCTATGTATGTGCTCTCCCATAGCTTAAAAAAAAAAATCTAGAACTGTATGAGTGCCTTAGGCTTCCAGTGTGATTTGCAAGAGCAAGATTTCTTTAACAGATCATATGATTAGTCCAGTCTACACTATCTATCACTATGTATAATCACGGCATGTAAATGTGACAGTCTGGTCAGATTCTGTGTTCAAATCGCATAATTTAGATTATTTATGGTGGATCATTTTAATGTAGAATTGCAAGACAAAACGCTAGACCTCTACATGTTTTTTCTATAAACCTTAGAGAGTCTTCTACCTCCGTAATATCTGAGCACAAACCTGGTTCTTGCTCAGTGCAGCAATCCCACAGGATTAAGTCATACTGTAAATACCAGACAAATTACAATCGGATTAGATGGGCAGTCTGTTCATTTACTCAACACAGCTGCACTCCAGAGTCTTTTCACCACTGGTGTCTATTTATAACATGAATATTTTGTCCTTAAAGTAAGTGAACACAGTTTCCATTTCATTCCTCACTTGTCTTGCCATTCGTGACCAATAAGGAGCACATTTCTACTTCCTAAGGAGCAAGAAGAATGCTCCCTGAGAGGCCAAGAAGCAAGCTGTTCTTGGTACCGGATCTGCAGGGCAAGATTTATTTTAAATTTATCAGTGAAAAGTCCCTTGAAAGGTCTGCATTCAATTTCAGTCAAGTGGAATATAGAGAGTATCTTTCTGGAGGTAGGTAGAAGACAGCAGCACAGATTTGCTGAAATTTCCCAGGAGTTGCCACATTCGCTGCAGGAGTTTCTATAGGTTCCAAACCTGGTATTTCTGCCTACATTGGTGAGCACAAAACCGTCCAACTTACTAAGCTCACCAGGTAGATCTGGTGTAGTGTGAGATTTACAGGGGATTTCTGCTCACTTATGAATAAGAAGCATGTTTAATAAAGTTCAATATTGTCTGCACTTTGCCAAAATCTCCCTACAACTTCACTGCAATTATTTATAAATGTCACATCACATCCCTCATAATTGTTCCCAATTACAAGAATCATCTTGCCTTTTAGGTACAAACTTGCTTCCATCCAGCACACAAATCTGGCATTACTGTATTTTTATTACTGTAATGGCTTACTGAAACCCTACTGAATCATGGAGCTAAGACTTTCATAAAACAGTATTTATGATTGTAGGCCACAAAAATATTAAAGCCAAATTAAGCAAACTGCTGCACCAACTCATATTCTCAGTACCCTGCTAACTCCATTCTCACCTCCACCTTCTGATTTCAGAGTCATTATTCCTGATTTGCACAGAGATAAATAAGAATAAAACTGCTGAGGTTGGGGCAGTGGAGTCCATGAATCAGGAGGAATGCTTTGTATGCCAACCCAAACCATTGCCACCAAGCTCCTCCACACTTACATGTTTGCATGTACTCACTCAGCTGAGAGGTGCGAGGCAGGCAACCTCTGCCCATGAAAACCCAGAGGGGGTGTTCTTGTGAGCCCCCTGAGCGTGCCCCAAAGTGACGTGACCACACTGCAATGAGCAATGTAACAGCGCGGCACAAACACAACCAAAAAGGCAGTGCAGAATTCACCTCTCTTCTGTAGCGATACGGTATCCTGGAAACCAGCACACCTTCCTTTATCAGGTATAAACCAGCATAGTTTATCACATCGTATATAATACGTTACATCTGCCAAATAGGTGTAATATAGCACTTACACAAACATGAGATCAGCTGTTCTCCAAAGAGAGTTTTTCCGTTCGGCAGGTGTCAAGAATTCGAAGTCATAAACTGATTTTACTGAAGTTAGAAGAGAAAGTGTACGGAGGCCGCTTTGCACTTTGACAAAAGGTGTTAATGGCTACCTTCCACTGCAAGACGTTGTCTTTGGCATCACTGAACAGGAACGTTTTTGCAACAGAAATACTGGTGGCGGTTCTGCTTTCACTCACACCTGTGACTCCTGCTGATTTAATTACGAGTTTCCATATTTCACTAGCTCAGAAATAGGTGTACACTGTGTAAACCTGAATGCATATGGGACAACAATTTTATGACATAGCATATGAAAAGTCAATATTGGCTTAAGGTTTTCCTGCACAACTTTGTCCCGTGCTTTTCTCTGCATGTGGGTAATGCGTTATAGGTCGTGTTTGTTTTCAGACTGATTCACAGCATGGCTTCCCAACCAGTCACGCTAGCACAGCTGAAAGAGATATACTGTGGCACAGTACAGAAGGAGGCAGTGGGAAGGAGAGGAATGATTTAAGCTGGTACCTTTGGTTGTCATCATACATGCTGTGATCACTGGCGGACTTAAGGGCGATCAATGGATCTTTGCCAAAAAACAACTATTGTTTGGTTATTTTGCTACAAGCTGCTTGGACAATTACTGTGTCTTAGCATCCACCAAGAAAGAAAGGATGTGACATGGTGGGAAGATCCCAACTCACATAAGACCCTTACAACTGTGGAAAAGTTAATGAAAACTGACTCCTTTTGCAAGACCAAGCCATGAATTGTACTTCTGTAGTGCAGTATGCATACTTAAAAATCTTAAAAAATATAACAATATGAAGACTAAAGCAATTTTAACAATAATCACTTTTCTTCCCATTAAAAGAAACATATATAAGGAATTCAGATTTCTGAGGTATTTGATTTTTTGCAAGCATTTGATTTAGTAAAATATAGTGAAAGATATTATTATATCTTACTATATATCATCTAAAGATGCCCCATCCCTGGAAACATTCAAGGTCAGGTTGGATGGGGCTCTGAGCAACCTGATCTAGCTGCAGATGTCCCTGCCCAAGGCAGGGGGGTTGGACTAGGTGACCTTTAAAGGTCCCTTCCAACCCAAACTATTCTATGATTCTATGTTTATACAAGGAAGAGTAAGGAAAAATTACATCAAAAACTTACTTTCTGCAGGTTCCTTAGATCTTCTGCCACTGGAGGACTTCCTCAGGAGACTTCGTCCTGAGGTAAAGAGGCTGGTTAATTCCTCCAGAGGACTGGTGGGTGTCCGAGAACGGGAACCAGTCTGAGATGATGACCCATAGGTACTGATCGAGGCATTTACCATCTTTCCTCCTTCTTGCAACGTGTTTCTGGCTGTAGAATGAGGCACTGATGGAGAGCTTCTTGAGAGACTTCCTGAATGTACAGAGTCATAAGGTGGAGGTCTTTTGAGGCTTAAGGGGGTAAGAGACCTACCCATACTGACAGGAGAAGGTGAGGCAGAGTGACTTTTAGGATAACCATGTGGAGACTGTGTTCTGTATAAGGTAGAAGGATGAGGAGGTGAGGAGGTGTGCCCAGGGGTGCTAGTTCCATGAGATACTGTCTGGTCTTTCTCCAGTTTCTGATGGCCTGGTGTATGAGGTGGCAGTGAAGATGGAGAAGCTCCAGCTTGTTGTTTGATGTAAGACACATTTTCTAAAACAGGAAGCTTTGTGACCTCTAGTGGAGTTAGAGGAGACTCATCAGAATTCGGGGAACACTGCACTGGTGCTGGTGGGAACACCAGCAGTGGAGGTCTGTGAGAAAGCAGATTTGGAAATGGTGGGGGTATATCACAAAGCAAGCCCTTGGGAGTAGATGGCACTGGAGACTTGGTGAAATCTAGGTCAGGCACTGTGGGAGTAGCACACTGAGAAGAACAAGTGTGATGGTCATATTCACATTGACATTTTGAATCTTGGCCTACCTCATCAAATATAGGGTATTTCATCTCCTCATAGACTGCTTCGCTTTGGTCATCCTCGTCTTTTTTGAAGTCTCTGAGAATATTCCCAACCATTTCAATATAAACAGGCTCTTCTTCCTCTGCGTCTGGGGCAGGACTGCTGACCTGCGATAAAGAGGCATCCCTAGTGAGTGTTGTCTTCATAGGGCCATGCTTTTTGATATATGTTTCATCAAAAGATGTGCTTAGCTGAGTGTTTGGATTTCGTTTCGGCTTAGGAGGTGGAATCTTCTTTGTGTATTCATCACTGTGAGGTCTTGGTTTGGCTGACACTGAAAACAGAACAAAATATAAATTCATCAGAAGTGTGTAACACACTTTGTCAACCATAGGATCTCTGTTACAGTGTCATAATTCTGAAATGGAATTTCCTGGGACCAGCCCGTTGCTGGTTTTCTCTGGTATTACATCAGTAGAACACTATAAAAATAACACCCTATTCAAAACACTCCTAATCTTCCCCCAGAATGCTATGACACTCCAGTATTAAGTAGCTAGTGAGCACTTCCCTTCCTCTGAGAACTTCTGTTCTCTCCCAAACTCTTTGGACAGGGGGCTTCCCATTTTTAAATATTACGCTTTTCAAATATCACTGTGGGATTTTAAAGACCCAAAGAGTTGCCAAAGACATGAAACTAAGTATCCAAATGAACTCCTTAGGGCTGCAACAGAACAGTTAATATCCTAGATGTTCATACTGGAATGACAGTGATGAATCAAGACCTTTTTATTTATAGCAACTTTTCACATAAAGCACAACAATTCTCTCAGCACTGACTGAGAAAGAAAACACTCACATACAAATACTGTAAAATTTGCTGTTGGGATAATCCTAATAATTTATCTGGACTCTATCCTATAGATTAACGAGACTTCAGTGAAGTCAAGGGGGACCAAAGCATCTCACAGATTCAGATCCTTCCCAAACAGGTTACTTCTAGAAAAAATAGACCATTTTGTCATTGACGTTATAAATCAAAACATTGTGATGAAATTCATTTGAAATGAGAGGTCAAGGGTTTCTTAGAAATTATCCTTTATGAATTAAACAATAAACAAACTCATGGAAATTGCATTTTTTTCACTTTGCATAAATAGTTAATAAAACATCTCATTATATGTTTGGGTTAATAAAATGCCTCATTAAGTGTTTTGGTGAAGTCAGTTTTTATCCTAAGCAGACTCAACAAACTTATTCAGAAACAAGATTTACCTCATACACTAAACCTAATTTTTATTCCTATAGGGTAAGTAGTTCTTGCATTGAAAGCCTCGATACCTCATTGGTAAGTTTCCTAATTTAAAAAAAAAATCCTAAACTACAGGCCAGTTTAGAATTTCCTGTCTTACCAAACTTTGCTGCTCCTTGCAGTTCACTGCTACAGATCTGCCACTGCAAACTCAGTGCTCAGAGAAATTTCCAGACACCTTTTGCCGACCCATCAGAAAACAGCCAGCAAACTTCTAGTGTTAAACCAAGCAGGCAGCGCTCATGGAGTTAAAAACCCTCTTTTAGAAACAGCCTCAAACATATTACTAAAGCCAGCAGCGAGGCACTGCTCTGCCCCCGGAAGACAGTATTTTGACAGTCTGCGAGGACGCTGGCTCAGGGCTGGAAGACGCCTGCATTACAGCACCTTACTAACGTCTTTTGGTCAGTATCAGAGGAGGATTCAAACATAGCGTTACCTGCTTTGATCTGCTAAATAACCTCTCTTCAGTTCTTACAAGGCATAGCAATAAAGGCAGATGTTAAACAAGATTCCGGTTTTGTTTAGGAATAAGGAGCTGTGAACATATGTGTGTGTGTCCACATATATGAAGTAATGAAACCACTCTTCATCGACAGCATTTGTTTAAGCTTAATGTATAACTAATGTACAACAAAGCAAAAATTAAAAAACAAAACAAAACAACCTCAAAAAATGACATTATGCTTTCATGACTGTTCCAATTAACGTGTTCCACTTTGCAGCAGGCTAGGGACATGCAAAAGCTACCACAGATAAGAGTATTTGGTAGCTTGATAGTTTTTCACTATGTGGATATATCCTAATGCACTTTAAATTTGTCTTTTTAATTAACCGAAATTAATTTTTGGTGCAGCCAAAGGAAAGGGTGGAGCCAGAAGTAGATGTATAATGCAAATCAACTTCTGGCTTCGTGGCTGGTGCCATCATGAGGGTTTTGGCTTTTATGACAACGGGACATTCTTCGATGACTATAGCCTGTTAGGGAGGGATGGGATCCACCCGTCTAGAAGAGGCAAGGGAATCTTTGGCAGCAGGCTGGCCAACTTGGCGAGGCGGGCTTTAAACTGAAGGACTCGGGGGGTGGGGTCCAAAGTGGCAACGCTCACACCACTGCAACCAACCAGGGAATAAGCCAGGTCAACCAGAGTAGCAACAAATGTTCCTTAGCTGCCTCCCAAGATGAGAACCAGAAGACCAACCACCTGAAGCGTGTGTACCAATGCATACAGCCTGGGGAACAAAAGGAACTGGAGCTCCATGCCCAGTCAGAAAATTATGATATCATAGGAATAACTGAAACATGGTGGGACAGCTCACATGACTGGAGGATCACGATGGATGGCTATAGGCTGTTTTGTAAAGACAGGCAGGGAAGAAGAGGAGGAGTCGTCGTGCTCTATATTAAGGAAAACCTTGAATGTATAGAAGTCAACTATGGTGATTGTGGAAGTCCTATCGAATGCCTCTGGGTCAAGATCAGAGGGGTCGTCTCCAAGGCGGATCTTACCGTAGGCATCTGCTACCGACCTCCAAACCAAGTCGGTAAGGCCAACGGAGGTGCAGAGACTGCGGGAGAAGAGGGATGTTAAGTCTGCTGGGACAGCGGCCACTGCTGTCTTCCTTACTGCTCCCGAGCACATGCTCATCATATTCCTGGAATGCATAGAGGACTGCTTCCTCATACAAATGTTAGATGTGCCAACCAGGAATGAGGCACTCACAAACCGAAGGTAAGGTAAAAACCAAGAAAACCTGCTTTGCAATATCTTGGTTAGTGATAGCCTTGGCTCCAGTGATCACAGTATTGTGGAGCTTGGGGTCCTGCTGAGCGCGCTGAGGGTTAGTACTAAGACAAAGGTTTTAGATTTTAGAAAAGCAAACTTCAGCTCGCTCAGAGCTCAGTTGGGAGGGATTCTGTGGGAAGCTTCCATGGAGGATAAAGGAGCTAGTGAGTGCTGGGAGTTTTTCAAGAATGCTTTCCTGGAAGCACAAAAACAGTTCATCCCTTTTAAAGGTAAGGGAAGTAGGCGAAGCAACAGACCCCTTGG